GAGAAAAGTCTCGGTAGCAATAATGAACCACACTTTATTTTATTTTAAGGACATATGCCAATTTGACTGACCAGGGATAACAAAATCATATTAAATATGCCGTTTAAGAAAGTCATGCAGCTCAGAGCCCCACATCTTAGTTCCATTAAAGAAAATAAGGAGTAAATCAAGATGGTTTTAAGTGCTATAACAAATGAGCAAATAAGCTGGAAACTTATAATAAACTGAATTAAGCATTGGAGTATCCAGAATACTAACTACCAGCCATCATTCTTTATGATTCAATGATTCGTATTACAAGCCGCTTGGAAATTATACGCATATATGCTTTTTAATTCAGATTTTTATTAACTTGCACTATACTAGTACATTGGAGACCAGTACAAGAATCAAATTGTTTACCAGGAGACTTATAAGATAAAAATCATTAGAGTAATTTAAAAAAAAAAAAAGTGTGTTACATCTGCACATAATTAGATCACTCTGCATTTCCAGCTCTTGCATAAATCCCACTTTACATTTCAGCCTATAGCAGCAGCTACTCTCCCATAAACCAGTTTCACAGGATGTTATCTTAAGGTGGGCCAGAAGGAGTAAACCAGTTTGGATGGGGAGGAAGGAGCAGAAATTTCAAATTTTTGCTTGTTTTCAAGACCTGATCAAGTGAAATAAAGTGCTGCTGTGAGTGACAGTCAGACCCAGACACAGCGGCTCTGTGAAGCAGGGAGAAGGTCACATTTACATGCAGGGTTACTCTGATCATTCCGGATGGCTGGAGCACTCTTTTCACAGAGGACTGTGTGTTTAGAGGACAGCACACTGGGAACTTTGTATGGCAACTTGTGCTACAGGCCTCAAGAAATTCCCAGGCGTTTCTGTAACAGTGTCCAATTATCCTGGCAGCAGCAATCTAACTCAATCAACTGGAGCGTTAGCCATAGAAGAGTATTGTTCTTTTACAGAGAACACAAGGCAAATACTCAAGATGTTCTCTACTGAGGTTACTCATACTGCTTTAATATGCTGGGGTTTTATGTCACTTATGTGTAAAAGTGGCCTAAAAAGGAATTCTGTGCAATGAAATAGTTAATTTGTGCTGTCTTATCTGCCACACGGAAGTACCTTTACTAAAACCACTGACTTTCTTGACATGTAATATACGATACATTTAAGTAACTGCAGCTCGCATGCAGAGTTCAGTACTGTAGGGTAATTTAAACTGGAAGGATCCCCGGAGGCCAATTAGAAAAAACCCTACCAAATGCATTTCCAGCCAGAGCAGGCTGCTCAGGGCTTTGACCAGGTAAGCTGCATCTTCAAGGATGCAGATTCTACATAGCTCCTGGGCAACCCCTATGGTGAAAATGGTTTCCCAAGCATCTAGCAGGAGTTTCTTGTGTTCCAGCTTGTACATGTTACCTACTGCATTATCACTCTGCATGTTGGAGGAGAACTGGCCCCATCTAATGAGCAAACACATCAGAGATACAAACCAGGTACATCCAAAGGAGGAATTCTTTTGGTGAATCCATATTCTAAGTCTCAAACTGAAACTGGAAGTAGGTATCAGAAGTATTTCCTGAATAAATGCAATGACCTTTTTGCCATGGGGAACGTCTACAGCAGCAAGGCAGGCTGATGATGGCAAGTACCCTGCGTATTTTGTGTAGCTGGACACCACAACTTGCCTATAACCAGCTCAGCAAGTGCTGCAAAAGGTGGCTGATTCTCATGAAACAATCAATTTTTTTCAAGTAGCATAACATTTTCACGATAGTGTCTTTTTGTTCCATAATGTCTTCTTGACCACTGTTATCTTACAACACAGGAAGGCCAGCCTGCATACTGAAATGTACCTTAATCTGATCTAACCAACATCTTAATTATTGTATAATCCTTGACAGAGGCGTTAATAACAAACCACATATGCTTCAGACATGAAGTCATTTCTTAATTTCCTTAGTGCAGAACGAAAAAGTGAGAAGAGGCATTCACCTTTAAACAGGTTTTCATTAGGAGTGAAAAAAAGTAATGGAAAAGGTCTTTTTTTTCTATTCAGTGCAAGCTTCTCATTGAACCATACATGACACAGTGTCACCAGTCTGGAGTGACTTGGTGAGATGTAGCTGTGTTACACTTTAACTCTTCATGATCTGAAAGAAAAGCGTTTTTTCTTCGAACTTCAAACAGCTGAAAGTTCTCTTTTAGAGAATATTTAAGATTAGTAGCATGAAAGTACAAGCACAAAGCCACAAACTAGCACCTTTAAGTAAAACAAACAAAACCCTAACAAAATTCTAATTATAATTTTCTATACATTTCACCTACAGGAAATACATATGTATATTAGAAATGGAAATTCTCTGTTTCGATATAGATTTTCTAAAAAGTTGTATAGGCAAAAAAGTACAAAAGTTAGTTGGAAAAAGTATTAACTTCTAATTTGGTGAATTCAGATAAAATCCTGAACTGAATCTTAAATACCTCTTAGAAACTGGCTTTTGTAATTTTTAAAATCAAAAAAACCCAAACCATTTTTATAACATTGCTTGGAAGAATAATTTAATAGTGCTGACTTCACAAAAAAAAAAAAAAAAAAAACAACAAAAAGCAATCAACCCAAGAGAATGAAAGCAACAAGTTAAAAAGTAGTTTTACTACAATACAAACCAAACCCAAGAGCAACTCCTAAAATCCTTAAAAACTGTAGTATCTTGGAGTCACCTTATTAGAGTGCTGGAAGAGACATAGAAGAGGAATAAACTTAAGATGATCAGCACTAGGAAGAACCATTAGAATCTGAAATAACGTCTACCTATTTCAAATACTGCATGAATACACTTTTTTTTCCTTTAATGCACTGATGACCCGCAGTTATCTAGTTGTACCTATTTTTCTATTAGACCAGCTCTACAAGAGAAGGCTATTAGTCGCCTCACTGAAAGGCTCAGTTCTTATTTTGACTCAAGCATGTTTACAGGCAGAATAAAAGGTCATTTTCTGTGAAAGGAGTAAGGCGTGTAAGATGTAAGTGAATGTTTCAGAGTAAATAACAAATGTACAAAAATAGAAAAACATTCAAGGCCAGGCTGGATGTGGTTCTGGGCAATCTGATCTAGATGAAGAGGTCCCTGCTTATTGCAGAGGGGTTAGACTAGATGACCTTTGAAGGTTAATTCCAACCCAAACTATTCTATGATTCTACTTAACTCTGTGTATGTTTGCATATATATAATTAGATGGTGTACATATGGTATGTATGCAAATAATCTCCTTTCCTGTAGCTTAGGACTTATTCAGTTTAATATATAACGAAATAGGAACTAACACGGCCATGACTGAGCATTGGATTAGCATCTAACACAGCACATAGGATTGAGAGCACCCTTAGCAAGTTTGCTGATGACACCAAGCTGTGTGGTGTGGTCAACATGCTGGAGAGAAGGGATGTCATCAAGACGGACCTTGACAGACTAGAGAGGTGGGCCAGTGCAAACCTCATCAAGTTCAACAAGGCCAAGTGCAAGAAGCAAAACATGAGCCTGCAGTATGCACTTGCAGCCCAGAAAGCCAACTGTATACTGGGCTACATGAAAAGGAGGGTGACCAGGAGGTTCAGGGAGGTGATTCTCCCCCTCTACTCTACTCTCATGAGACCACACCTGCAGTAGTGTGTCCAGCTCTGGGGCCTCCAACACAAGAGGAATGTGGACCTGCTCGAGCAAGTCCAGAAAAGGGCCATTAAAATTATCAGAGGGCTGGAGCACCTCTCCCATGGAGACAGGCTGAGAGAGCTGGGCTTGTTCAGCCTGGAGAAAGCTCCCAGGAAACCTTGAAACACTCTTCCACTACATAAGGTGGAGCCTACAATAAATCTGGAGAGGGACGTTTTACAAGATCTGGTAGTGACAGGAAAAAGCAGAAGGGCTTTAAGCTGAAAGAAGGGAGTCTGAAAGAGGGGAGGTTTAGATGTGATAGTAGGAAGAAAAGTCTTCAGTATGAGGGAGGTGAGACACTGGAACAGGCTATCAAGAGAAGTAGAATTTTCTATGACACTGGCTTAACATTAACACTAGTTTGGGAATACCAACCATGGTATCAGCAACTACTAACTACACTTGTCACACAACTTCTGACATGAGTAACTTCTTTTAGGTATCCAGTTCTTCAAAGAAACAAGTTTATCATTATCTGAGTTCTTATCAGCATTTTCTTAGTATCATTTTTATTTAAACAACCTCTCATCTGTATATTTCAATCAGAAATAATGTCCAGATGTCAACAGGGTATAAAGCTGACAGATGGCAAACTAATGTAAAAGGAAAACTACCACCTATCTGCCTGTAAATTGACCTCTCATGGGCAAAGTCCTCAAAACACTGCAACAGGCCATATGCTTAAGTGACAACTACTTGCTCATCCAATGCAATAATGATTTTATATTAAAAGTAAGAATCACCGCTCACATAATGAATCCACAGATCTGAATTATCCTACATTTGCTGACTTTCAACAGTTTGAGTGAGTCTTTAGAAGAGATGAGGGTTGGTTTCCCATTTAAACTAAAAGCGTCCATTCCTCTATGACTGTTTGGAATTTTTACTCTGAAGCTTGATGCCATGTTATTGTGCTGTTGCGTTATGAATTCCAGATGCCCATACATAATATACACACATGCAAAGAAAATGAGCAAATACTACATAAGTCTCATATGGACTCAGAGAATCATGGGATCCCAGGATGACTGAGGTTGGAAGGAACCTCTGGAGGTCACCTGGTCCACCCCTCTGCTCAAGCAGGACCACCTACAGCTGGTTGCCCAGTACTGCTCGCTCATGGTCAACTTGGCATGGTCATCATGGTCACGAAGATGATCAGAAGGCTGGAGCACCTCTCCTATGGAGACAGACTGAGAGAGTTCAGTGTGGAGAAAAGAAGGCTCAGGAGAGACCTTCAAGCAGCCTTCCATTACCTAAAGGGGCCTACAAGAAATCTGAAGAGGGACTTCTTACAAGGGGCATTAGGGATATGACAAAGAGTAATGGCTTTAAACTGACAGAGGGTAGATTTAGATTAGATATTAGGAAAGAATTCTTAATTGTGAGGGTGGGGAGACACTGGCACAGGTTGCCCAGAGAAGCTGTAGCTGCCCCATCCCTGGAAATGTTCAAGGCCAGGTTGCATGGAGCTCTGAGCAACCTGGTCCATGGCAGGGGGTTGGAACTAGATGACCTTTCAGGTCCCTTCCAACCCAAACTATGTGATTATATGAACTTGGTGTCTGCCAGCCATCCCTTTTATTTTTATTTTTTTTTCTCCTAAGAATATGAAATCAATTTGCTTTTCTTCTCTGTTCAAAAGTGTACAGCCGCACTCACTGGTGCAGAGGCAGACGGTACTACAATGGAACTTCTAAATTTAAAGGTTTGAATGACAAATGTGCAGAATAGACACACACAACATATTGCTAAGTGACCTATGATGAGAATATAAAATGCTCTATTAGGAAGTGTCTCAGTCACCCCAATACTGATACAAACACATTTCTTCACAGTTAAGTCAAAGGCAAATTGCCTTCTCTACAAATCCTTCCAGTCAACTTACAAAAAAGCAGCTGAATTAATGTGCTTATTACACATACTTATTTGAGGAAAAAGACTAAGCCATGACCTGAAAGAAACCACCTCTACTACAGCAACATGATCAGTTCAGAAATAGACACTGCCACAGGAATTGCCAAGAATCTGGATGAATTGACAGGCAGCTGAGTGCTATGAGCAGCATTTTGCTGATAACTTGGAAGCTTCAGCTCCCAGACAGTATATAAGGATTCCCTGGGGAAACCAGACTGCAGCAGGTATGTCAAGGTGACAAAGTATCGCTGCCACACAATCCACTGAAAGGTATGTTCTGGCTACCAGGTAAAATATGCTGTGACTAGAAAAAAAAAGGAAGACAGGCTGTCAGGCAAAGCAGCAAAGAAGCAAAAGAGATTCTCAGACACCATGATTCAGTATACAGGAAATATTGCAAGTAATTTCTTTTCCCAGGTTTTTTTTTTCTGATTGGAAGTTGTAGTGTTTTCTCTCCTTTATATTTAAAAACTTTGATAATTGATCTCAACTGCTTCTAGTGAGATACAGGTAAGATTCACTACTGATCAGAGAAAATTTATAAATCAGATGGCAAGTATGTCTAAAGAAGGAGGACTGAAATTTCTCATCCATACATAAAGATTGTCTTGGGGATATATGTTCTGGGTTTGCAGATGTTTTTTATCTGCAAATAAAACACTTCAAGACTTTCAAAGCCATCTACTACAGTTTCCTCACTGAGAAGTAAAATAGCAATTTAACAAGTAGCTTTATGGAGTATCACGAGATTATGGTTAAAACCAGGAAGAAACAATTAGTGTATCTAGAACTGCCATTGTCATAATCT